GATGAGAACACTTAAAATCTACTCTTAGCAATTTTCTTTCTTTTTCTTTTTTTTTGAGACACGGTCTCACTCTGGCTATCCAGGCTGGAGTGCTGGAGTGCTGGAGTGCAGTGGCACAACCGTGGCTCACTGTAGCCTCAACTTCCTGGGCTCAGGTGATTCTCCCACCTCAGCCTCCCAAGTAGCTGGGACTATAGGCACACACCACCATGCCTAGCTAATTTTTTGCATTTTGGTAGAGACAGGGTTTCACCATGCTGCCCAGGCTGGTCTTGAACCCCTGGACTCAAGCAATCTGCCCGCCTCAGCCTCTCAAAGTGCTGGGATTACAGGCCTAAGCCACTGTACCCGGCCTATTTTCAAGTATTTATTGTTAATAACTATAGTCACCATGATTACAATAGATCTCTTGAACTTATTCCTCCTGTTTTACTGAAATTTTATGTCCTCTGACCAAAATCTCCCCAATCCCTTCACTCCCAGCCTCTAGCAACCACCATTTTACTCTCTGCATCCAAGAGTTTAGCTTTTTCCAATTCCACTTATTAGTGAGATCGTGGAGTAATTGTTTTTCTGTGCCTGGCTTATTTTACTTAACATAATGTCCTCCAGGTTTGTCTGTGTTGTCAAAAATGACAAGACTTCCTTTTTTAAGGGTAAATAACATTCCACCATGTGCATATGCCACATTTTCCTTATCCATTCATTTGTTGATGGACACCTAAGTTGATTCCATATCTTCACTATTGTGAATAATGCTGCAATGAACATAGGAATGCAGATAACTCCTCAACATACTGATTTCATTTCCTTTGGATATAATCCCAATAGTGGGATTGCTGGGTCATATGTTAGTTGTATTTTTCCTTTTTTTTTCTTTTGAGACCAAGTCTCGCTCTGTCACCCAGGCTGGAGTGCAATGGTGTGGTCTCAGTTCACTGCAACCTCTGCCATCCGGGTTCAAGCGATTCTCATGCCTCAGCCTCCTGAGAAGCTGGGAATACAGGTGCACACCGCCACACCTGGCTAATTTTTGTATTTTTAGTAGAGACGGGGTTTCACCATGTTGGCCAGGCTAGTCTTGAACTCCTGACCTCAAGTGATCCACCTGCCTTGGCCTCCCAAAGTGCTGGGATTACAGGTGTGTGCTACTGCGCCCGGCCTGCATTTTTAATTTTTTGAAAAACCTCCATATCGTTTTCCATAATTGCTGTACTAATTTATATTCTTACCAAGTGTATGAGGGTTCCCTTTTTTTCTTTCTTTGTTTTTTTTTTGTTTTGTTTTTAAGACAGAGTTTCGCTTTTTTTGCCCAGGCTGGAGTGCAATAGCATGATCTAGGCTTACTGCCACCTCCGCCTCCCGGGTTCAAGTGATTCTCCTGCCTCAGCCTTCCGAGTAGCTGGGATTACATGTGTGGGCCACCAAGCCCAGCTAATTTTGTATTTTTAGTAGAGACAGGGTTTCACCATGTTAGCCAGGCTGGTCTTGAACTCCTGACCTCAGGTGATCCACCCACCTCAGCTTCTCAAAGTGCTGGAATTACAGGCATGAGCCACCACACCTGACCAATGCTGATCATTTTTCTATATACCTGCTGGTCATTTGTATGTCTTCAGAGAAATGTTTACTTAGATCCTTTGTCCTTTTAAGAATTGAGTTGTTTTCTTACTACTGATTTGTTTCCCTTCTCTCAAGATTACTGTCCTGTGCTGCACATTGTTCAATGTTTGAAAACAATTTTCACTTCTTTTGTCCTCACTTTTAAATGAAGCAGAAAGATATATCTGGCCCTGTTAGTCCATGATGGTTCAAAGTAGAAGTTTCCATTAGCGTTTTGGCCTTTATCCTAACAACAATAGGTAGCATTGATGGATTTCCAGTGGGACTCACATGATCAGAGTTGTTTGAAAATCAGACTGCTTTGTTGAGAATGGACTGAAGGAAAGCAGTTGGGAAGAGGGAGGCAGCAGTTCAGAGATTATTATAGTAGTCCTGGCATGAGACGATGGTGGTTTGGACCAAAAAGAAGACAGAGGAGAGAGATAGGAAAAGGTAAGATTTATTTAGGAACTGACAGAATACAATTCCCTTTGTGAAGTTCAAAGAATATTGCTCAGTGGCAAAGTCTCTACTACTGGTCTTTATTGTCTGTGCTAAAAGTTATCTGTGAACATCTGAAAATCCTACAGCAGAAGAGAAGAGTATAAATAAATGATGTTCTTGCTTCTGGATAGACTAGAGAGAATTTTAAGCCAATCAGTGATGACTGTCTGCAAGGCTTTCACCTTTTCTGTGCTGTAGCTGACACTTGTCAGTGGTTGTTATGGACTGCATGTTTGTGTACTCCTGCTATTCTTATATTGAAGCCCTAACCCCCAGTGTGATAGTATTTATTTTATTTTATTTTATTTTATTTATTTTTTTTTTTGAGACGGAGTCTCGCTCTGTCGCCCAGGCTGGATGGAGTGCAGTGGCCGGATCTCAGCTCACTGCAAGCTCCGCCTCCCGGGTTTACGCCATTCTCCTGCCTCAGCCTCCCGAGTAGCTGGGACTACAGGCGCCCACCACCTCGCCCGGCTAGTTTTTTGTATTTTTTAGTAGAGACGGGGTTTCACTGTGTTAGCCAGGATGGTCTCGATCTCCTGACCTTGTGATCCGCCCGTCTCGGCCTCCCAAAGTGCTGGGATTACAGGCTTGAGCCACCGCGCCCGGCCGATAGTATTTATTTATTTATTTAGAGACTGAGTCTTGCTGTGTTGCCCAGGCTGGTATGCAGTGGTGCCATCTCGGCTGACTACAACCTCTGCCTCTTGGGTTCAAGTGATTCTCTTGCCTCTCAGCCTCTCAAGTACCTGGGACTACAGGTGCCCGCCACCACGCCCAGCTGATTTTTGTATTTTTAGTAGAGATAGGGTTTCACTATGTTGGTCAGGTTGGTCTCTTAACTTCTGACCTCAAGTGATCCTCCTGCCTCAGCCTCCCAAAGTGCTGGGATTACAGGTGTGAGCAACCCTGTCCAGCCCCAATGTGATAGTATTTAGAGATACTTTTGAGAGGTAATTAGAGTTTGTTGAGGTCATGAGGATGGGGATCTATTATGGGAATAGTTCCCTTATAAGAAGATACACCAGAGGACTTGCCATCTCTCTGCCATGTGAGGGCTGTTTGCCAGCAACTGACTCTGCCAGCCTTGATTTGGGATTTTTAGGCTCCAGAATTATGAGAAAATAAATTTCTGTTGTTTAAGCCACCCAGTCTATGGCATTTTGTTAGGGCAGCCTGAGGAGACAAAAATAGTGAGGCTCTCAGCTATAGCAGTCACAGCGATGGCTTTTCTTTTTCTTTTTTTTTTTTTTGAGACAGGGTCTCGCTCATTCAGGCTGGAGTGCAGTGGCATGATCATAGCTCACTGCAGCCCTAATGTCCCGGACTCAAGTGATCCTCTTGCCTTAGCCTCCCAAATAGCACCATCACACCCAGCTAATTTTTAAAATTTTTAGTAGAGACAAGGTCTTGCCCTGTTACCAGACTGGTCTTGAACTCCTGGGCTCAAGCAATCTATCCACCTTGGCCTCCCAAAGTGCCGGGATTACAGGTATGAGCCACCATGCTGGCGGACTTATATTTCTCATTTGGATGGCAGAATATTTGTTCATGAACAGTACGGGCACAGTTAAAGCAAGTTTTTGTTTTGTAGTGCCTTTAAAAGGTGCTTTAATGTGTAATCTTTTTGATAGTGGATTGTTTGCAAACTCCTGTGATGATGTTAATGCATTCACGTTAGTGTCGACTATGAAAAACCCTAACTTCCTGACTTCTACTTAAGTCAAATATTATCTTATAATAAACTCAATGGAGGACTGACATTATAAAGATCTACTAAGTGACCCACAAATGGTTCTTAAGTCATTGATAAAGTCTAAGTAAACAAGGTTAATTTTAAAACTTCATTCGAAAGCCAGGTTCTTTCTGTTAGCCTGTTGCTAGTGTTTTGAATTCTGTTGCTTCACTGCTCCAAGATACCTGCTCTCTGATGATAGCCCATTCACTTCCATGGATTAAATAGAAATTCAAAATACAAATTAGGAGAATGGACTCTGGTATGTTGTGAAGTAAGCAGAGTGAGGAGAATTAGAGAGTGATATGAAAATAATTGGTACTGTAAGAGAGGTGCTTTCTCTTAAAGACAGAAAGGGAGGCTGGCCATTGGCTTACGCCTGTAATCCCAGCACTTTGGGAGGCCAAGGCGGGCAGATCACGAGGTCAAGAGATCGAGACCATCCTGGCCAACGTGGTGAAACCCTGTCTCTACTAAAAATACAAAAATTAGCCGGGGGTGGTGGCAGGCGCCTGTAATCCTAGCTACTCTGGAGGCTGAGACAGGAGAATCACTTGAACCCAGGAGGCGGAGATTGCAGTGAGCCGAGATTGTGCCACTGCACTCCAGCCTGGCGACAGAGCAAGACTCCCTCTGGGGAAAAAAAAAAAAAAAGAAGAAGAAAAGGAAAGCAGGGAATGTACCACTGACAACAGGGTATTTTGACCTATTTTAAGAGGCCAGCTTGAACACTTTAAACTGATTCCAAGTAAACTCTCATTTATATATTCACCCATCTATGTTACACATACCTATTAAGTACCTATGGAGTGAAATACTTTGTGCTGTTGGAGATATAAAAATGAAGACTATGTGCATACAGACCCTAAGCATTTCAAAATTGACTGGCGACACTATGTTTCTAATTAATTTTACAGTAGTGTCACAAGATGAACTAGATGGCTAAGGTGTGTGTGTATGTGTAAAATAGCTTTTAATGGTTTTGAAATAAATCTTGTAAGATAGTGAAAAATGTAGTAAGACCTTTCCATTCTTACTATTCTGCTGCTCTGATCTTCTGGTGCTGCTGAGCCTCTTTGCATTTCTGTCAACATTCCAGTCTATCTAGAATCAAAGAATACTGATAGCTTTAAAAGACTGTTTCTTACTTCACTTTCAGGATGAGAAAACGGATTCAGATTAGGTTTCGCGTGGCATGCCTGAGGATCGAGCCAGTTTAGTGGCAAAACTGGAGCAGAAACCATTCTCCTGAAAACAAACTAAGCATTATGCCTTCTTCGTCAGCCAGCTCTGTTAAGTCTTCCTAACCGCTGAGGTTCAGCTAATCATTATTGTTTCCACGAAGTCTTCCCTTACCCTCAAGTAGATGAACTCCTCCTACCAGAGTGTTTAGTTCATGAGTGCATCTCACAGAAACTTTGTTTCTTCAAGACAGTGTTGCCCAGCTTGAGTGCAGTGGTGAATCATAGCTCACTGCAACCTTGAACTTGGGCTCAAGCAATCCTCCTGCCTCAGCTTCCTGAGTGTGACACTACCTCAGGCTAAAAAAATTTTTTTTGACAGTACTTTCTTCCCCAGTTATTCTATTGGAGAATCTCAAGCCCCAGATAGAGGAATGTATGTCCCGGTCCCTGAGCTCTTTCTGCATATGAGGGTAAAATGTAAAAAATGATAGCTACTGCATTTCAGTCTTTCATAAAATATCAGCAATTTTTGTTGGTGTAGTCATTTTCTTCTGAAGTTGCAATTCTCCTAAAGTTGTGTCTTTATTACAAAATCCAATGAATACTTTCCTGTTTTTAACCTTTTTAATATTCCCTGTGACTTTTTTCATATGTCCAATTATTTGCCAAATGTTTAATGAAAATATACTATGTTCCAGACAGTGCATGAGATGATGGGGATGCAGTAGTGAGCAAAACTCGTAAATCCTATTATCAGAGGATAGGAGCCAGCAGCAAAGAAAGTCCAGCAGTCACACAACCACAACAAAGCATCAAACATGCTCTTGCTGGAGGAACCAAGGGCACTTGATCTGGTCCATTGGATTAAACCCTAATCTGGGCCAGGAACAGTGGTTCACAAGTATAATCCTAGCACTTTGGGAGGCCAAGGCAGGAAGATCTCTTAAAGCCAGGGGTTGGAGACCAGCCTGGGCAACAAAGAGAGACTCCGTCTCTAAAAAAAATTTGTAAATTAGCTGGGTGCAGTGGTGTGTGCTTGTAATCCCAGCTACTCAGGAAGCTAAGGCAGGATTGCTTGAGCCCAGGAGTTCAAGGCTGCAGTGAGCTGTGATGGTGCCACTACCTTCCAGCCTGGGTGACAGAGCTGAGACCCTATCTCAAAACAAGGGAACAAACAAACAAAAAAACCTAATCTGGTTCAGTAGAAGTGAAGTTAAAGTGAAATCTGAAGACTGAGACGTGAAGAAGACTAATTCAACAGGAGGAACAGGAAGGACTGGAGGCAAGGAAAAAAACATATACTTTAGGGAATTTAGATGCCCTCAGGCCTGGGCCACCATGGGTGGGAAGGCAGGCAGGTGAAAGGTATTCCTGGATGTGGTTTTAGAAAAGCTTTTCTACTATGCCCTTTATTTTTTAATCTATGTCTTAAATTATTTTTGTTGTTGCCTTATTCTAAATACTTTAAGGAGTAAAATTAAAAGAAAATCTATACTTTAGGTGAAAATAGTAAACTTTACCCACAGGTAAATTATATGCAAGACACAATATTTTTGTAAAGCAATATCTTGACTCCTGATTAACATCATAAAATAGATAAGGTTTAACAATAGACCAATTGGTAATTGTATCTTCCTTTAATTTGAAACCAGTCAGCTCTAAATTATTCATCCTACCTAAAGAAGAGATATATACATAACCTAAAATGATCAATAACCCAGATCATTTTTGACTTCACTTCAGAACGTGCTTTTTAATTTACACATTGGTATGCCAAATTTAGGAATTCACTTAAAGCTATGCCACAGAAAAGGAACAACCCATAGTACCAAATCTTGTAACCCATCCCATATTGAACTGAAAGCATGTTTTAGGCCAGTATCAAGACATAGTATGGCCAGGTGCAGTGGCTCATGCCTGTAATCCCAGCACTTTGGAGGCCCAGGTATGTGGATCACTGGAGTCCAGGAGTTTCAGACCAGCCTAGGCAACATGGTGAAGCCGCATCTCTACAAAAACTACAAAAATTAGCACGGCGTGGTGGTGCATGCCTGTAGTCCCAGCTACTTGAGTCTGAGGTGGGAGGATCCCTTGAGCCCAGGAGGTGGAAGCTGCAGTGAGCAGTGATCGCACCACTGTCCAGCCTGGGTAAGAGAGGGAGACCCCACACCACCTTAAAAAAAGGCTCAGTGGAGAGTAGTTTATATCTCTTTCTTTACACTTTTCCATATTGTTTTGAGTTTTTAAAAAACAAGCCATGAGTAGCTTTACTATTTTTTGAGTAAAAAAATATTTCTATTTGGAAAACCAAAGAGTAGAAGTAACCTTTTTCACTTCTTCCTAGAGAAGGTTCAGGTTGAGTTTATAGAGTGTGTCTGAGACAAAGTACGGTAAAACAAAACCAGACAGCAGGCCGGGCGCAATAATTCACGCCTGTAATCCCAGCACTTTGGGAGGCTGAGGCAAGGGGATCACTTGAAGCCAGAAGTTTGAGACCAGCCTGGGCAGCATGATGAAACCCTGTCTCTACCAAAAATACAAAAATTAGCCAGGCGTGGTGGCTCATACCTATAATCCCAGCTACTTGAGAGGCTGAGGCTGCAGTGAGCTGAGATGGTGCCACTGCACTCCAGCCTGGGCAACAGAGCAAGGCTCTGTCACAAAAACAAAACAAAACAAAACAAAACAAAAAAACAGTAACAAAAAATTAACAGAGCAGTGTAGTATATGTGCTGTCATTCAGGTTTATATAGAGCACTCGAATAATGACTATTTTCTAAAGTATTTTGTGGAAAGTACTAAAATGAACAGCAATTTCAACAACCAATGGAGAATAAAACAGATGTTACAGAAGTAAAAAAAAATTTTTTTCACAGACTTTACTGAGATGATAAATATTTGATACAGATCACTTGTTACATTAAATATTCATTTTCTAACTGTATAAAGGCATGAAGATTCACTGCATTTACAATCCAAACTACAAGATAGCAAGCACATTGACAGTATCTTCACCTGAAATACTTAATATGCTAAAAATATTATATGAAGATTAAGGCAGAATCTAATTCAGAAAATCAACTCACTAGTCCAGTCAGGACACGTTTTTGTTTTTTTAACTTACTCAACAGAGATGACAGAAATAGCTTGATATTATCAATTACTTCTAGTTATGGACTATTTTCAGATAAAACTAGAAAGATATAAGTTAACAGATTTATACGTCAATGGATTGATACCTTTTTTTTTTTTTTTGATGGAATCTTGCTCTGTCACCAGGCAGGAGTGTAGTGGCGCGATCTTGGCTTACTGCAACCTCTGACTCCCTGGTTCAAATGATTCTCCTGCCTCAGCCTCCTGCGTAGCTGGGATTACAGGCACGCGCCACCACGCCCAGCTAATTTTTGTATTTTTAGTAAAGATGGCGTTTCACCATGTTGGCCAGAACAGTCTCGATCTACTTGGCCTCCCTAAGTGCTGGAATTACAGGTGTGAGCCACTGTGCCCGGCAGATTTTTAACTCTTTATAGGTGGAAAAGGACTAAAAGTTATATCTTAAAACAGAAACTCTTAAATATGGTCTGCTATTGTTAGCTAAAGATGCAAAGTTCATCAAATACTAACTTAAAATAATCTGAGAAAATAATGGGTGGGCCCTATACCATTTGTAACTAATAACTGTTTAGTTTGTGTGAGGAATCTGTAACATGATGATGATTTTGGCTATATGATACCTGTTTTCAATTCTTAAAAAAACAAACAACAAAAAACCCTCAAACATTTTGATTTTCTTGTTTAAAAAAATTGTTTTCATTTTAATGATCTGAGTTAGTAACAAACAAATGTACAAAATTGTCTTTCACATTTCCATACATTGTGTTATGGACCAAATGAAAATGCTGGACTACAAATGCAGGTTTCTTTATATCATTAACTTCAAATATTGTCACTTATAAATAAAGGTGATTTGCTAACACATGCATTTGTGAACACAGATGCCAAAAATTATACATGTAAGTTAACGCACAACCAAGAGTACACACTGTTCATTTGTGCAGTTATGCGTCAAATGCAACTGACACAGAAGCAGTCATCCTGGGATATTTTACTCTATATGAAAAGCATCTTGGAGAAATAGATTGAAATACAGTTTAAAACAAAAATTGTATTCTACAAATACAATAAAATTTGCAACTTGCACATCTGAAGCAACATTTGAGAGAGCTGCTTCAATAACCCTGCTGTTATATTGGTTTTACAGGTATATCTCCAAAGTCATGGGTTGGGATATAGCTGCTTTAAAGAAAATAAATATGTATATTAAAAGGAAAATTACACTTTAAAAATGTGAAGAAAGCTTTGAAAACAATCTTAATGCATGAGTCCATCTACATATTTTCAAGTTTTAGAAACAAAGAAATTTAGAATTTTCAAAGTAATCTGAAAACTTTCTAAGCCATTTTAAAATAAGACTTTTTCCCCCATCTTTCCAATGCTTCCTATTTGATAGTGTAATACAGAAATGGGCAGTTTCTAGTGTCAACTTACTGTGCTAATTCATAAATCATTACACATTTATGACTGAGAGGTCAAGTAAGTGGAAACTGGGTTATAATGAAAATGACAAGGGGGCCCTTCAGCAGGCACTCATCTGAACTAGTAATAAACACCAACACAAACTGATTTTTTATATTAAATTTTTTTTAGATCTCTAAAGGTAGGAAAATCCAGTCTTTCTTAAAAATACTTTCCTGGGTTGTGGCAACATGTGCTTTACCTCTTTAACTCTACCTAAAACCTAAAGTTATTTCTATATTATAAATTTCAAACTCCCTGGCAAGGAATGTAAATGCTAACCAGCTAGGTATTTATAGTCATGCGCCGCGTAACAACTTTTCAAAGACAGACCGCATATCTGACAGTGGTCCCGTAAGATTGTAATACCATATTCTTACTGTATCTTTTCTATGTCTAGATACACAAATACCATTGTGTTACAACTGCCTACAATATTCAGTACAGCAACATGCTGTACAGGTTTACCATATAGCCTGGGTATGTTGTGGGCTGTGCCACCTAGGTTTGTGTAAGTACACTATGATGTTCACACAACGGAATTGCCTAACAATGCATTTCTCAGAATGTATCCCTGCTGTTAGGCAACACATGACTGTATTTAACTTCATAAAAAGCGATAACTCATGGATGGTTGTCATAATAACATTTCCACTTTTCTCTAAGGCCTGAGGTTGATGTCTTTGCCTATGCTCTATGGATCAAATGAGAGAAGATGATGCATCTAAACAATAGGGTCTCTTTGAGGCAGTATCATAGACTTGGCCTCCCGTATTATGAAAACCTTTGTTGTGCTAAAATGAATACAACTGCAAGCAGTTTGAGGGCAACTGCAGTGCCAAAGGAAATGAATTATTTTCTATGGGAAACATAAAATTCATCTTAAGGAAACATCTTTGTTTGCCACAAGGCATATCATGAAGAAAATGTGGCTAGTGAATTCAAACATCGACTCCAAGAGCCACCTAAATTAAGGTGGCTTTTAAAAATGTTTAAATTATCAATGATTTAGGAACATAAGCTGGAAGAGTAATATAAAGATGTATAT